TATATTTATATATATATATAGATATATATATATTCCCATAGGTGAATAATAATTATATTGCATATACACATCATTGGAAGTTTTTTTAGCGCTGTACAGTTTACTAAGGATAAACCCTTGGTTGTTCAGTAAAGTAAACTCTTAGGCATCTCTGAAGGTGAATACAGGAACAGTGGTGTGCCTACATTCATCTAAATTTCCCAGCATCATTTCCAAGTATTTGAACACTGAAATATGACTATATCTTGTGAATGTGTAGCGATTCTTTGGTGAATTTGCATCAAAGTAAACTTAGGCAAAAGTACAGTGCAGGTTTCCATAGGAAATAATTGAATTCACCACTTTATGAAATGGCAAAACTACCAAGAATCATTTGCCATTATGACTACTGCAAATGTTACATAAACTAGCGTTTAACTAAAACAATAAATCAAGATTCTTTTAAATCTCTTATGAAGGCAAATTGTGCTTTATAGGTAAGGCAATTTAATAATGAATAGATGGGTGGAAAACTCTCAGCCAATGTGACATTTAGGCTTTAATAATTAGACCCCTAAAAGGGTGTAAGTAAACTTTATAAATCTATGCATAGCATTATGTGGAAATGCAATTATAACTTGATTTGAAAATACTAATAAAGGGTATAATGAGCACATCATTTGTATTTATTTCTATTAAACAAAAAATTTGCTAGCATTATTATTATTATTATTATTATTGGAGCCAAACCATCAATATGTGATATAGTAAAAAATACACAATAGGCAAGCACAAAACATAATTTTCTCTTTCTCTGTTGTATTTTTAAATATATTTACCAGAAGCAGAAAGCGCTTCTGTTCAGCTGAATGCCCTGCTGCTTTTTGAGTGTTTACTGCAAGAGATTTCAGATGAAGGGGCCTTGGGAGCTCAGAAGAACTGGGCCAGTTTAAAGGAGTTGGCATCCTAAACTGTACTAGTGGCCTTGGAGGGGACCTGCCTGCTTAGTTAGTTATCTCGCCAAATTTTCTCTCTTGAAAAAACGTAAAGCAGAGAGATGGCAGACATCCTTCTCGGGCTTAATCACACTTCTGTCCTCACACCCAACAAACTTACATCCTTTCCCATTTTCACTTCTTTTCTTGTCTTCCTCCCTTGTGGTATCCATGGCAGTGTTTTTCTAGGCATTTTAGCATCTATCAGTGTGAAGTAATCTGCTTCAGCATGCACATTAAGGGTTAACATGCAGAGACAGGTATGACAGGCTCCTCTAGGCAAAATAAGCCTACTGAGATGGAAGCATTCTGATTTGGTGTAATGTAATGACAATGTTCTTCCACCATCTGTCTATACATAATGACTGCAAATGCTTGAAATAATTGTTTTTCTTCTAAGTTATCTTTGGAACTTTTTACAAGTAAGTTGTACTGAAGGGAACCAAAGTTTACATGAACTGTATTTGAGGGCACAGCAACACGATTGGACATTGAGCTGCAGCATATTTTTCCTTAAGTTGCACCAAAGCATTTGATACTGTTTCAGTTTCTAAAGTTAAAAACCAGACATTACAGTTTATTGGGAAAAAGCAGCATCTGTAAATATCCCTTTTTAAAGCCTATCTAAACCCAAAACGTACTGTATTTAAGTGCACCAATCCATCAGTGTGGTGGCCGCATTAGTTTCCAGTTTTTAGGCTCTTTCCCTTTATTTTCACCTGGTTATTCGGCCAGTAACAAACTTCCTGTGTTATGGTGGATCCACTTTAAGAAGGAGCACCATTGGAAATCACCATTGTCACCATGTGGGGAGGGTAGT